GAACTTTTATTTACAGGTCCTAATGTACTTTAAATGATTTGACTTTCATAAGTAGATAAATACACTTATTGTCAGTGATATTTAGCATGTCATTTCTCATAAGATTAAGGTTTTCCGTCCTGCTTACAAAGGATTGGTGACACTTTACACACATGGGTCACTTATACAATTTACTTCATTCTAAATTAAATTGAGTGTGTGGGGAGGTTTACTACTTGTTAAGCTTGTGCATGTTATCAACTGTTTTTTGGACCGTTATATATTCATGTTTAAGATTGAATTTGAAATTGCACCCTTAGTTATTTGTGACAAAAGGGGGAGAGAGAATATACACATGGGGAGCATTTAATGAATGAAATTGAGATTTGATTTGTATCTGCATTTTATGTCCGAGGGGTTGTTGTGGAGAGATGTAGATACATTTGCCTACTACATAAAAATATTGAGAGTTTGCAGTAAGGGAGGGAATGTGCATTGCATTTGCATTGCATATGATATGTATAGCTGTTTGAGTTTTTATGTTTTGTGATATTAATATTTTGGTTGATATTTTGATTGACTTTAATGTCACGTCTCAAACTAGCATACTTATTTGTGTTCGTAAGTTTTTGATTTCTCGTATCACGTACTTTTACATTGGGTATTGAGTTTTTGATTTCAGGAAATAGGTATACCAATGAATGTAAGAAGTATAAGAACTTGAGTAGTTTAGTTTGATAGTTTGATTTATTTTAATACCTTGACTTTATTTGTATAGTTTTGTCACATAATGTCAAATGGGGAGATTGTTATGTTCAATATTGTAATTGTCAATTCTGTGAACAAAAATGACTTAACTGAACATGTGTAAAAGTCAAGGAGTGAAGTGCAATTTTGTGTAGTTGAGTTAGGTTGCCTAGGGTTTGAGTTCGAGTTTGGAAACAAGGAAGAAGCGGCGTTGGAATTTCACTAGCCTTACGCCTAGCCATCGCTCGAGCGATAGACCTTTGGCTTGAGTGACAAGTCCCTTCGCTTGAGTGACATATTTATGCGGCCAGACCTAATTCGCGATTTTGAAGAGTTTTACATGGCCCATGACACCTAAGCGTCCCCAATTATAAATACAGATGTCTGGGACAAATTCCGTGTGGTTGCTTAATTGTGCTTTCATTGTATAGCACATCCACATCATATTTTGAGATATCCAAGAGCATAATTATTTGGTGAATTATTGTGCTTTCATTGTATAACACATCCACATCATATTTTGAGAGATCCAGGAGCATAATTATTTGGTGATTCATCTATGTCATTCTCGAGATCCGACAACCAAGTTTTGAGAAAACATCAAGATTCGTGAATCCAAAACACCTGACTTCCTTAACACTTTGAGGAATGTGCTTTCTTAGTTGAACTTCAGAAGTTTCTGGAGGTTGTGAGAGGTTGGACTACAAGCGCAGGAAGAAGAACATGAATAGGTGATTCCAGGATATCCACTTGGAAGATACAATTGAAGAAGATCGGGAGTTCGGAATTTACAGCAGATCTTGGAAGCTACAGGAGGTAGATCGGGAGATCGAGCAGGTTGGCTAGATAGTATTTACAGTAGCAGATCATGAGTCTGGATGAAAAGATCTTGGAGATTACAGGAATTACAACCGCGGGAACTAGTGGAATTTACTAGGCTAGAAACGGATTGTAATCCATATTGTATATAGTGGAGGTAACTAGTTTGGTCCCGAAATTTTTACTCAGTTGGGTTTCTCCATCATCATTTTGGTGTTCATTCTTTATTGCTTTCCATATTGCAAACTGTGGTATTCAAACATAGGATAATTGAATTACATGCTTAATCATCTAGAAATTGTTAAAAAGTGACTTGTTGCTTTTAATAGAATAATTCCACACGTAAGATCGAACTTAGTTAGTAAACTACGTATTTTCAAATACTATTAAAAATGGGAAAAAACAATCTTTAGACAATGAGACCCAAACTAAGAATACTCTTTTAAGTCTACAAAAATTTGAATGTTACCTCAATATCTTATTCGAAAGTACGAAGATTAACTGAATTTTAACTACTCATGTATCTCCTTTTTGAGTCTCATCTTTTGAAAATAAATTTTATGAAAAGGATTTTTTTAAGAGAATGTGTTGTTAAAAATAATGAAAAAATTTGGATTAATATGCAAAGTATTTTATTAACAAAAATGTACACTGAAATGCGCATGACATTTGATGTGATGGTGCAGAAGGATTGGAAGGAAATTGTTTAATTTTTTAAAAATATTCGATAATGTGTTGTCATGTGATAAAACGTAAATAACAATGTAAAGAATGATATACATATAGTATGATTATTTTATTAAAAGAATCTGTAATTGAAAATAAATTTGAAGAAAAATGGATTTTAAAAATGAAGCTCAAATATGGGCAAGTGTCAATAGTTAGAAATCTAGCTAGAACAGATTTTGTGGGCTTATTCTAACTTTGGATGCTCACCGAATGTATAGCTTATTTCAAAAATTGTATCTTGTCAATGTAAATTGTTGCTTCTACTACTTTATTTCTCGTTCTAGAAAATTAGGTAGCCAACAATATAAAGATTTTTTTTAGTTGATTTTGTAAGTTTTAGGGCCTGCTACTATTTTTTACTGATTTTGGGTGACATTGTTAATGAGAGGTTAAGAAAATCAATACTTGTTAATTTTTTTGGCACTGATTTTGGGGATGCAGAGCCCACAAAATCAGTGGATTTTGACTTTTTTTTCCATATAAATAATTATTTCCAATCCACTTTTTCAAAATTAACTTGTTCAAAGCTTGTGTAAAAAATTGCTTATAAAGTAAAAGTACAGTGAATAAGATAAAAATTTACTTATATGTAAAATATTTATAAGTAAAATATCATTTATGAGTAAAAAAATTATATAAAAATTATAAATTAAACATTTCGCTGAAGGACATCATAATCTTTTTAAAATAAAAAATTCAGAATTACTGAAATAAACTCTCAAACACGTGTCGAACTATTTTAAAAATACTACTAACAACCAACTGAGACGAACTTTACATAAATGTCCAAAATCAATACTTTAAAAATTGTCCATAATCAATACCCCAAATACCAAGCAAGTCTTTAGTTGATTTCAGGCATATTAGCACAAAACGTCCATACGTTTGGCATTTAGTGTGAAAAACATCTTTACATTTCAAAATTTTGCATTTTCACCACTATTTCCACGCTTTACTGTGGAAATCATCATTTTCATCTTTTTTTTTTAAATTTAAAGTTGTGAAATGACGAAAATGTCCCTATTTAATAAAACAAAAAGAAAAGAGAAGAAAAAATAAAGAAAAAATTAGAATCATTGTCCCAAAATCTCAAAAGATTACAAATGAGCCCCCAATATATGATTAAAAATCCAATTTACGCCAAAAACTCAGGCCAACCACCATCTTTGAACATTAAAAACTCCGACCAACTACCACCTAAACCACTGGAATTCCATACCATTGGACAACCCCCACTCCACTCTTCATATACCACCTAGCCACCCCCTTAAAGTCACCAAATTTGACCGAAATCGATGGCCAAAAATCAACTCTAAATATAGAGAAGTATCTCATTAATCCAGAACTATTCATGAGAACTGAGTCGTGCCTTAGGAACTATGGACAACCAAAACTCCAAACACCTTAGCCACTGGACCAACATACCACTTTAAAACCCTCATCTTCCTCTTCACAACCCACCGAACCACTGACAACAACTTCAACAAATTTGGCCAGAATTTCCATTCAAAGTAGGCTGCCCATGCATCTTCAAAAAGGCCAAAAGTGCCATTTCAAGCGACACCCATGACCTGCCCACCCTCCAAGTTGACCAAGCTCACTATTACACACCACAAATTTTAATATAACAACAAACAATGTAGAAAATCCTTATGTCCAGCCTTTTTCTTCAACAATGAACTCGGGCATTTCAGCAATGATTTTCGGCGTCGGCGATGCAACCTACGATTGCGGACCACCACCCCCAACACTACCTCATCATGGCGCGTCCAATGAAACCATGTGTCATCACCAATTTCGAACCAATATGAACGAATCATGCAAGGCAGATCAGCACACACAGGTTCCGTTAACCCCCTTTCATTTGAGGACTCCACTAGACTTCAACACCTCAATTCTAGCATCCAACCTTCAATTAATGTAGGTAGAACAATGGGTCATCCATCAATTGCATCAATTCCTCAATTAAACGAGCAAATGTTGGCGTGAGTTTTTGAGGATTTGGGTTTTTAATTATACATTGGGGACTTATTTGTAATTTTTTAAAATTTTGGGACTATGCTTTTAATTTGTTCTTTATTTTTTATTTTTTTTCCTTTTATTTTATTTAAATAGGAGGGGGTTTTCGTCATTTTCAAAACTTTTAATTGAAAAAATAGAAGAAAATGATGATTTTCACAATGAAAAGTAGAAATATGGATGAAAATGTAAAAAATTAAAACATAAAGATATTTTGCACACTAAAAATCAAACTTAGAAACGTTTTGTGCTAATAAGTCCTGATTTCGTTCTCTTTTGCCCTTTAATTGAACTAGAACAAAAAGAGAAGACAAAAGAGCCGAGACATTGAATATATCTTCTTCGATCTTCACATCTCCTATGAGAGATATATAGTGGTATGGTATATACAAACACCACCCACCAAATGCAACCCCACCCCACCCCACCCCACCCCAACCCACCCCGCTCCTCGTCTTCTCTCCGTGTATATCAAGGATTGCACAGTGAGAACCCCCAGTCTAACAAAGAGCTGCAAAATCACCTCTCTCTCTCTCTAGCCAACAACTGAAAGAGGGAAGCACACAGAAAAAGCCCCTAAACCACACCCGCCGGGGCTCTTTCTCAATCCTTTAAAACTGTATAAATTGATATTTTGATGGTCCACTTTCACACAAGAACCGAAACGATAAACAGCGAGAGAATAGTGGAGGAAAGAAGAAGAAGAAATGGGAAAGTACATAAGGAAGTCAAAGACAACAAGAGAAGTGGCGGTGAGCCATGCCCAATCCTCGCTCGGGGTTCGGACAAGGGCTAAAACGCTAGAACTTCAACGCCTAGAGAAATCCTCCGCCTCTGCCGCCGACGCTGACCCGGTGGCGGCTGAAGGCTTTGGTGATGGGTGTTACATGCAGCTGAGGAACAGACGCCTGGAGAAGCCTGCACCCCGTGAAGCGAGAAGACAGAAATACCCTCTCCTGGAGAAGGAGCCTAATTCAAAAAAGGCAAGAGTGCGTCCCAACAGCGTGGAAAATTCTGGTAAGGAGAAGGAAAAATTGGAGGAAAAACAGGATGAAAACTCGGTGGAGGCTTCATTTGGAGAAAATATACTGGAATTTGAAGTCAAAGAAAGGTGGTTATTTATTATTATTATTTTTTTTTACCACTGCTTATTTATTTGCTTGTTTCTGCTTTTGCATGTAGAAAGATTCAATCTTTTTGGTGAATTTGGGTTTGTAATATTGGGTTTTCTTTTTTCTTGTTGTCTTTTTATTTGCATGTAAAGATTCTAACTTTTTTTTTTTTGTTGAAATTGGGGAGCTTTTTTATGTTTCTATTTTGGTGAATTGGGTTTTTCTTTCAAAATTAATTTGAGCACTTAATGCTTGCTCAAAAGTGTTCTATATTTTGGGAAATAAAGTTTTTTTTTTCAATGAAGTATATGTTGAACTATTCAATATTTCTTTGTGAATTTTGGTTAAATAAAGCTCTGTCTGATTGAAGGTTTTGTTCTCTGTTTGGGGCTAACAATAATTTTGGAAATTTTAAGTTAGTTGATATGGGTTTTTTGGTTGCATGTGCAAAGTTTCGATGTTTTTAATGATTTTTACGCTACGCCTCTGGTTAGATGTAAAAATCCGTTTGGAAGATGGGAAAATTCTTGAAATTATTTGGGTTTGGGATTTTATTTTTCTGGATCTTCATTTTGTTATGTTTTAGTTGTGATTTCAAATATGATTGCATTTTTTTTTTAATCATTTGTATGAGCTTTTTAGCTTAAGATTTTGCTCTTTTTATACATTTGGGTAATTAATTTTGAAAAAAAAATTGTCAAATCAAATAAAGATTCTTACTAATAGAAACAATGTGTGAGGTAAATATTTTTTTGCATATTTGATAAGAAAAACTGTGAAATGTGAAATACATCTTTTTTCTCCTGATTTTAATGAACAGATGGAGTAAATTAATTTATGCAAAAGATGATATATGTTTTTTTTCTATTTATGGATAGGTGATTATCATCGTATCACATTTGTTGGTGTATGGTTGAGAGTAATGATGTTTCCCTTACCGGTATATCTTTATTATTTCAAAGTTGGTATTAGAATTTTCTTGATCTTTTCTGCTGCTGAGAAAATACTAGACAACAGAAGAGATTTTTTATCTTCTAGAGATCGTATTGGAGCTTGACTTTGTTTTTGTTCAATTTTCGAACTTCGCTTGTTTCAATCAGGTCTTGATCCTTTTGGGGAACCTAATTACACAACTCCTCTTGCAATCCAAAAACATTTTCTACATATTTGAGACTGCCATCCCGTTTGTTTTGACGTGAAGGCGAGCCATAAAAGAGAGTTCTCAGTAGCTTGCTTGAGCTGCTGTGTTTCTTTATCATAACTGGTATTATCTGGTACTCATGTCACTTACCCGTAGGATAGGGCTGTCACTCAATGTCTATTTATTTAAGTCACTTTCTTGCCTGAGAAATATAATCAGCGAGTCTGCAGTAACTGCAAATGCTTTATCAAGTAAAATGTCATGTTCATTTAAAGCTTTGCATTTGTTGTAGCACGATGTGTGGTATCTTATAGTCTTAATTGTGAAGTCTGGTACATGTACCAGTTGAAAATGAATGTGGGCACATGCCACATGATTGGAACAGTGAGGAGTGATGAGAAATAAGATGAAAGATAATGAAACTAATAATTTCTCACTGCTCATGAATTATGTTAATGGGGTTAACATTCTTATTGTGCAGGACCACTAGGGAAAGCACGCCTTGCAGCTTGATTAGGGACTCGCGCACCATCAAAACTCCTGGTTCAAGTAACAGGCCTACTGCTGGAAATGATGCCAATAGCAGAATGCAAAACCCGATGCCAAGAGACATCCCGACTGCAAATGAAATGAACGAGTTTTTTTCCTGTGCGGAAAATGATCAGCATAAGCAATTTGTTGAGAAGTACGAATACTCTTATCTCCGCAAAATTTCTTGTGTAACAAAAATGTTCGTGTTACTAATCTGAATCCTCCACGCTGTTTGTTCTGTAGGTACAACTTTGATCCATTTACGGAGAAGCCCCTCCCGGGACGTTATGAATGGGTGAAACTCAAACCTTAGATTTGCTTTTGCAAGACTTCTGCAGTTTCTTGTTTAATACTAGGAAAGATGATGGAAAAATCATAGGAAACTTGCAGGTTTAAATGGTTACTTGTAAAACAGTAGGTGAACCAGTTTACTGTAGACTAATGATCTGTATCATAACAGAGCTTTTAACTTACACCCATATACTAACAGATCATCAGAAACAGAAGGAAAGGGAAAGCAGGTCACAGTGTTCTTCGTCCTAGCCTTATAAAAGTTAATCAGAACGTCTTGTAATGTTCCTCTAACGTACTGATTTATTGTCTATATTTGTACTGATGAAACCTCTCTGACGGAACTCCGAATAAATTGACCCGTTTTCCTTTTCATTTTTTCGATAATGTTTTGGCTTGTTTATCTTCATGTGAGACAATACAACTTTCACAACACTACTTTGTTCGATGTCCTTCCATGAGACTGAGGTCATATTTTTTGATGATGGACCTACCATTTTCTGGCCTCCTCTTGTGAAAATTGATGAGGCTAGTGGTGCTGGTTGTGGGGTTGCTTTCTTGGTAGATTGGAATGTGAGGATCTTGTCTTTATATTTGTGTGATTGTGTCCATTGTAAACCATTTTTATTTTTAATTTTAATTTTTTGGCTGCAATCTGAGTTTTTCTTGCGACATAGTGAAAAGGGTCCCGTTTTGATGGTGATAGAAAAAGGAATCGAAACTGCAATTACAATACGTGCCCTGAACTTGTGTTATGATTTTCATTCTTACATTGAATATTTACAAGACCTGTTTGAGCCAATTTATTTTTTTTGTTCTCATTTTCAATTACACATTCTTCAATAAAATAATATCTTTCATCACATCAATAATTTTTCTTTCTTTTTTAACTATATATTTTCCATTACATCAAATAAAAAAAATACATTTTTGGACTCAAAATGTGCACCAAATGGGGACTTGTGTTCTACATGGTGCATTGTTACGGGGAAACTTGATTTGTAGCAAAAGTAGCAAAAGTTTGAGTGGTGAACTCTGGTCAATTTAGGAAGACTTTGAAAAGGTGGTCATTTTTTTATTTTTTGAGGTGCAATTACAGAAAATCCTTCTTTTAAAAATGGTCAAATTCAATTTAATGACTAAGGTTTACAGAGTACAAATGGTCAGTGTACAAATTTTGAGGCCAAACCAATAGCTTTCAAGAGAAGTTTTGTTGGTGATACATCAGGAATAATACAGAGGGAAAAAAAAAAAAAAGAAACTAGTTGAAATCTAAGAACTTAGCAAATAGAAATTAGAAACTCTATAATGCCTCGTAGAAAATTTAGTCTAAATGCTGAACTATAGACCGGGTAAAATGTCGAGTTTTCACTAGTCAAATATTGAATTTTACTGAACTCTAGACCGGGTAAATTTCAAGTTTGCTATGAAAATCTCAAAGTTGCTTTGCAAAAATTCTATTATGCTATGAAAATATCGAGTTTGGTGTGAAAGTCTCGAGTATGCTGGCAAAACTCAAGCTTGCTAAGCTGTTAATTTTGAATTGCATTCCTTTCTTTTTTTTTTTAAAGTTGAACTCTTAATTTACTTTCCAATGATCTATTATTTCCTTGGTGAGGTGTGTAATAAAAGTGGTAAACTAATTCCAGCAATGCTTCGTAATTATGAATATGTAATTCATAAATAAATTATAAAAAAACCTTAAAACTAGAAATGGCATGGCCATTTATATAAAGGGAATTACTTCACTTGATCGTCAAACTTTTCATGACGACAACGGTTGATACATTGTATCAAGTGACCGTCGATGGACTGCGTCACTGTGGAACTCATTTTTTGATGACGGGGATCGTGACGCGTGGTCCAATGTGATCCGGACACGTAGACGTACGGAGGAGTCCCCAGGCGCGGGCGAGCCAGTAATATTATATTGGCTCGCCCCACGGTTTGCTGATGGATGCCCTTGCGGGGCCTATGGAATCTATTGGAATTTGAATTGGTATCACTGTAGGGCGGGATTTCATCAAATTTGAAATTTGAATTAGTGCACTATTCACAATCGGGGACAGATTGCTCCAAATAACTCTATACATATATATAGGTCCCCAGTCCCCAATTGGACAGGAAAGTTTTTTGAATCCCTCATTGAACAGTATGGAGACACCATCTTCTTCATCGCGTTTCTGCATAAACGCTAAGAACTATTTCTTAACTTATCCCAGGTGTCGAATTTCTAAGGAAATCGTCCTTGATCAAATTAAAAATTTCAATTTTCCGATTAATGCTCTGTTCATCAGAGTGTGTCAGGAACAACATTCCGACGGTGCAAATCACCTGCACTGTCTTCTCCAGTTCTCCGGCAAGTGTCGGAGCCCTAGGTTCTTCGACATAGTCGACCCAGATTCCGACGAACACTTTCACCCAAACGTTCAGAGCGCTAGATCCGCGAATGACGTCGCCGATTACATAGCGAAGGGAAGAAATTACATTGAACACGGTCAAATTCAAGACGACGGTCGGAAAAGGAAGATAAGTTGCCTAGAGTTAGACGAAGCTTATGACAGCTCATTAAAAGTGACATCAAAGAAACAGTCGCTAGATATTATTAGGAAGAACGATCCAAGAACGTTCTATTTACAATATCACAACATATCTGCAAATGCAGATAGATTATTTCCAGAACCACTACCGGAATACGTGTCGTCGTTCAGTCAAGAATCGTTCGATGTTCTAGAACAGTTAACGTTATGGGCCTCCGAAAATATACGTGCACCTGAATCCAGACCTTACAGGACCAGGAGTCTCATACTGGAAGGTCCAACTAGAATTGGAAAAACAATTTGGGCTAGATCGTTAGGCCCACATAATTACATAATGGGCTTTATGGATTTTAATTCGAAAATGTTTTCGAATAATGCATGGTATAACGTCATTGATGACATCAGCCCTTCGTATCTGCAAAAGAAACATTGGAAAGAGCTTATTGGCGCCCAGCACAACTGGGTTTCCAATGTGAAGTATGGCAAACCAGTTCAAATTAAAGGATGTATCCCATCAATCGTGCTGTGCAATCCAGGCACAACAGAATATTCTTATAAAGCTTTCCTAGATCAAGATGCCAATTTAACTTTGAAAAATTGGACACTAGGAAATGCAGAGTTCTCCGCCGAAACCCCCTTCTATAGGAGCGGAGCATCACCGATGCAAACGGAAGAAACATCTAGCCATCATACCTAGACGTCTTGCACTACTGTGCTGTTGCATTATATACCAGACCATCGACTGTCGAAATCATGGATTCATCCACCAGGGAGCCACTCACATGGCAGCAACTACAAGTAGGGGAGTATTACTGGAACCTAAACAATCCAATATGAATAAGAGTCCAACACTTCGCACAGAACACGATTCCGCCATGGCATCACGTGTTCAACGTGGAGATGAGGTTCAACCACAACCTCAGGAAGCGTCTAGGAATCAAGAGGGCATGGTGGACTATCCGTATCTGGACGACATTACAACCAGTCCCAGAATTACTGCAGAACCCATCGTGGAAGACGATGATTTCTGGGACTTTCTCCCAACGAATTTATTTTTATATCCATAAAAATCTCTGTAATTTAGGTGTAATTTCAATTTACAATTTTTGCTATGCATTCCACGAAGCAATGAACAATTTCAAACATGTAATAGCGGATTGGGAAATGAAAAATGAATATATATCATTTTATTAAACACTCCTGAACCACATTCGTACATTTAATGCAACTTCCATTACATATTCATGAAATGTAGCAAAAACTAAATAATAATCTCCTTTCATCATGTCCTCTACGGATCCGGAAGTCGTATCCTTATACACTGTGAGTCCACAAAGTTTCTTTTTCACAAAAATTGGTCTCGATCGCATGTAACAAAAGTAAGGACGTTTGTCGTCGTCAGTCGCCATCGAAGAATCCGAATAACCATGACCTTCTAAAATGTTTCTTTTTTCACAAACGATACTGAACCTATCAACATTCTCCATGTTGATCATCCAAGTGTCTGGATCTCGACTTTCGCCAACGAATATGTCGTTAACACTGGGATTAGAATTACCGGGACGTCTGTCGAACGCCAGCCACATCCACAACCACTGCTTCATATTATGAACATTGGCCTCGATGGTCAACTTAATTGAACCGTTAATCACAATTCCATTCCATCTCACCTTCTGGGTATGCCTCGTATCGACCGAGGTTCCAGTAGAGCATTCATTTATACAAACGATACTGCCAACGTCAGCAATATTATTCATCCTGATAAATGTCATTTTGTGCTGCACGGGAGGTGTAAACACACCAAGCCTTCGATTATATCTCAGAGACCTGAACCACTGAACTGGCAGCTGTGAACGCTGAGTCCTGTTGAACTGAAGAACACGTCGTGTTTTACGATAGCCTGCGGTCCTAGACGGACCTCCTGCCCACTTCCTCTTCTTGGAAGACGAATTCATCAATCAATTGCTAAAGCGATTAAAATTGTTATATATGCAAATTTTGATTTTCAAAATTGACCGTCGATGGACTGCGTCATTGTGGAACTCATTTTTTGATGACGGGGATCGTGACGCGTGGTCCAATGTGATCCGGACACGTAGACGTATGGAGGAGTCCCCGGGCGCGGGCGAGCCAGTAACATTATATTGGCTCACCCCACGGTTTGCTGATGGATCCCCTGCGGGGCCTATGGAATCTATTGGAATTTGAATTGGTATCACTGTAGGGCGAGATTTCATCAAATTTGAAATTTGAATTAGTGCACTATTCACAATCGGGGACAGATTGCTCCAAATAACTCTATACATATATAGGTCCCCAGTCCCCAATTGGAACAGGAAAGTTTTTTGAGTCCCTCATTGAACAGTATGGAGACACCATCTTCTTCATCGCGTTTCTGCATAAACGCTAAGAACTATTTCTTAACTTATCCCAGGTGTCGAATTTCTAAGGAAATCATCCTCGATCAAATTAAAAATCTCAA